GCTGGCTGGGGAATTCTGGGAGTTGAAGTCCTCCAGGCTTAACGTTACCAAGGTTGGACACCCCTGGTTTAGATGAATACCTTTCATTTCCTAAAGGAGTTCAAGGTGATTTGTTTGTATGGGGATCTTCCTTTATTTTGTTGAGAGTGGAGAGAGAATGACTGGTCCAAAGTCTCCCATTGAGCTTTCATGACCGAGGGTGGGAGAAGGCCTGAGTGTCCCAGTCTTATACTGCCATGGATGGATGACAGTCAAACTAGTGAAATTGTGTTGCAAAGAACTTGAAAAGTTTGAGAAAGATAGCATTTTATAATTACCGGAAGGAGTGACATGCATAATGAAGCCAACACGCTGTTGTTTTCTGTCATCAAAGTACAGGTTGTACAAAAGTGGCCTTAAGTTAATGCAGATTCTTAACAATAAAGGCACTTTCTTGATGTGGAACCAAATTCCAGAGGAGATGGCCAACGCTCCTCCACTTGATTTGAGGAATGCTTTTGGGCAACAGTTGATCCTATGGGCTAAATCAGCGGTCACCAACTAGTGGTCCTGAGAAAATTGTGGTAGTCCGCAGAAAAATTATTTGCATTTTTTATATTGCACTAAATCAGGGGTCCTCAAACTATGGCCCCTGGGCCAGATACGTGCAATGAACATTTGTATTGCTGCAGAGAGTCTCCCCCTTCGGGGTCTTTTTGTGTGGATTGGTAGGGGACAGAACTTCCGACTTGGAGTCTGCTTCAGCTCCTGGTGTGAGGCTTTGGCCAAAGGCCGGAGGGAAGTGCCGCTGGTGGCGAAGAGCCAGAGGGCCTTGTTCCAGTGGGACTGCATCATGGCCTGGAACAGGCTGACCATCTCACCCCTCTGAACCTCCAGGTGCCTTGCACTCCTGCAGGTCTTCCCTCTGCTTGGAAAGCCTATGCTCATAGTCCTCAGTGAGGTGCTTCTGCTGAGCCTCTTTCTCTGTCAGATCCAATTTGAACTGAGCCAATTGTTTTGCCAACTCTTTCTCATGGTGGCTGCTTAGCTCCAACAACTGCTTCCTTTTGGGGATCAAAGGAGCCCGGGCGGGCAGATGATGAATGGCTGGAAGGGGAGGGGCGAGTAGAGGCCTCAATGTGAGTGACATCAAGTTGGCCATGCCCACCCAGTCACATGACCTGCCATGCCCACCCAGCTGGCCACGAGGCAGATCATATTAGTGGTCTGTGGGATTTAAAATTATGAATTTAGTGGTCCCTGAGGTCCAAAAGGTTGGTGACCCCTGGCCTAAATGACCTCCTCCAGCTCTATGATACCAAAGGTTTATCATAACCTTGCCAATATCAGATGTATTTGCTAAACGCAACTGATATGGAGAAGCAGTTTAACACATACACACACACACACAGAGAGTACAGAGTACAGATATTAACAGTTATGCATGACATATAACAGATAATCAGAGTTGGAAGGGACCTTGTAGGTCATCTAGTCCAACCCCCTGCCCAAGCGGGAGACCCTACACCATTTCTGACAAATGGCAGTCCAATCCCTTCTTCAAAGTCTCAAGTGATGGTGCTCCCACAACTTCCAAGGGCAAGCTGTTCCATTGGTTGATTGTTCTGACAGAAAGTTTCTCCTTATTTCCAAATTAAATCTCTCCTTGTTCAGTATCCATCCATTATTCCTTGTCTGGCCTACAGGCACTTTAGAAAATAGCTTGACCCCTTCCTCTCTGCGGCAGCCCCTCAAATATTGGAAGACTACTATCATGTCTCCCCTGGTCCTTCTCTTTACTAGACTAGCCAAGCCCAGTTCCTGTAACCGTTCTTCATATGTTTTAGTCTCCAGTCCCCTAATCTTCCTGGTTGCTCTTCTCTGTACTTTTTCTAGAGTCTCAACATCTTTTTTATAATGTGGTGAACAAAACTGGATGCAGTACTCTAGGTGTGGTCTTACTAAGGCTTTATAGAGTGGTATTAGTACCTCCCTTGATCTTGATTGTATCCCTCTATTAATACAATTTAGGATAGCATTAGCTTTTTTGGCTGTTGCTGCACACTGCTGGCTCATATTTAGCTAAGATAAGACTCTAAGATCCCTTTCACAGTTACTTCGATTGACCCTGGTTTCACCCAGTCTATATGTGGACTTTTGTTTTTTCTTGACTTTACTTTTCTCTACATTGAATTTCATTTTGTTAGATACGGCTGAGTGTTCTAGTCTGTCAAGATCCATCTGGATTTTGAGCCTATCTTCTTGGGTGTTAGCTATTCCTGCCAGCTTAGTATCATCTGCAAATTTGGTAAGTTCCCCTTCTATTCCCTCATCTAAGTCGTTAATGAAGATATTGAAGAGTACTGGGCCTAAGACGGAACCTTGTGGCACCCCACTGCTTACTTCCCTCCATGTAGGACTACTCGTTGAGTATGGTTTGTCAGCCAGTTGCAAGTCCATCTAGTGGTGGTGCTATCTATTCCACTTTTTTCTAGCTTACTA